ACCCCCACCACCAGGACTTGCATTGAATCTTCCTCGTGTACCTCCAAACACGGTCCAGTATGCACCTCCAACTAGTGGTGGAATCCCAGTACCTCATCAGCCCAGGCCAATTGGTATCCAGATGATTCCATCAATTCGCCAACCGCCATTACCTATGCAAGCTGGGCAACCTCCAATTATGGTTAATCGACCACCATCAATGCCTCCGCCAATTCCTGTGAATTTGCCTGGTATTCCTGTACCACCACCTCCAGGTTCTCAGTTTACTCCTGTCTCTGTTCCCCGATCGTATGTTCCTCTTCCAGTTGCTCCTCCTTCTATGTCTATGATGCAGCCACCACCTTTGCCTCAAGGAATACCTCCACCACCTCCACCAGATGAAGCTCCACCACCACTTCCTGAAGAACCAGAACCAAAGAGACAGAAGCTTGATGATTCTATGCTTATTCCAGAAGACCAGTTTCTTGCTCAACATCCGGTACTGAGAGCTTTCACATTCACTCCCTTTCCACTAATTTTTAGTATATGAGTGTCAATCTGTTATTTATGCAGCTCTTCGAACCCTTTTTTCCATTTTTGTTCACCAACTGTTATCTTATTCTATCTGGACTCCTTCCACTTATTTGAGATTATACATTTTGCAGGGACCTGTTCGCATCACTGTATCTGTTCCCAACATTGATGAGGGGCAAAATCTCAAGGGCCAAGTTCTTGAGATTACAGTGCAAGCCCTGTCTGAAACTGTTGGTAGTTTGAAAGAGAAAATTGCAGGGGAGATACAACTTCCTGCAAACAAACAGAAATTGAGTGGAAAAGCTGGTTTTCTTAAGGACAACATGTCACTTGCATATTACAATGTTGGAGCAGGAGAAACGCTTGCACTCTCTCTGAGAGAACGTGGTGGTAGAAAGAGATGAATTGATTCTTTGATCTGGCTATTTCACTTAAGGTTGTTTTGTCATGAGATTTTTCCATATGTTATTGTGGAGGATCATTTACCTAGCTTTGATGCTATGTTGAAGATTATGTTGCTTGTATATCATTAGATTACCGTATAATTTTGTCATTGGACTAACGTTATGTCTCATATCTACTACAGATCTTGGCGTTTGGCAACTCCTATAAACACAATGAGATATAAAAGGAGCTCATTTGCTCAAACAGAGCAACTCATCCATATATTGTTAATTACTCCATTCTTTTCAATGTGCTGTTAACATCCTGTGGAAATGTAGACTTATGGTCATACCAACGGTTTCCATGTTTATGTAGAATTGTCCTTGATGATGATTTAATCCTTGCTGGTCATTTTGAATGCATGCGAAATTTCTTTAATCCTAGCAACCATTTGAAGATGGTTTTTTTCCTAGTTTATCTTCTGTAGGGAGCATGGTCTGAGCACAAGAACAGGTGGGTTGTTCTGGTGATGCACCTAGCGTCACATCTGATACTCAGATTGAACCCGAGTATTTGTTCATTTTTACACATTATTGGTTGTGTTTTCTGATGCTGATGTTTTCTCCTCTCAGAGGGTTCTGCCTTTGTGCCTTGGTCTCTGGTGCAACATTTCAGATGTGTATTTTTTCATAAATGTCTGGGGCAGGTAGGGTGGTCTGTGACACTTTCCCCTCGTCATTTCGGTATGAGCATTTGTCCCTGGCCTTTAAATTTCTGGCATCTGTCTTCTTCTTTGCAGCTTGAGATGCAGTGGTAGCTGATTGATGCTTAGTTTCTTCTTATTGCTTTGGGTAAAAGATGATGCATGTGCTGTGCTTATGTTTCTCCTTAGGTGGGTTACATAGTGTATTATTGGGTTTGAATTCTATACAATTTTGAAGTTCAAATATTTATTGTGGGTTTGTAGGTTACTCAATTCTGCAGCTCTTGGAAATTTATGGACTTACTGTTATATAGGGCATATATTATATAGATCACGTTTATACTGGTATCCTAGGGGGAATTCATGGTGAGTAACTTAAATCTTTTTGGTTTCATGGTGAAGAGGGTAGTCAAATTACATTAACTCCATGTTGGCAAAAACAAAATAGTAGAAATTTATAGTCATATAACTAAAAATATAAATAAATTTGATTAAACTATGTATTAAATATGTAAATTGTGTTTAACAAATTTACACTACAAGAACAACATCTAATTTAATATGTAATCTTTTTAAATTTGATAATGATGTTAGTTGCTATTCATGAAATTTAGTTTTTTTTTTTTTAAATTGAATGTTATTTTTAATCCGTTAGGACTATCATAATTGATAAAAATTAATCGTCGCGAAATATTTTTTATTCATTTATAAATATGAAACTTAACTTAATTATTAGAATCATGAAATGTAATTAAATACATTGTACATAAAGAAGAAAATTAAAGTGTCTATTTTTAAAGTTTATTGAACGTATTCTTTATGGGTTATTTTCAATATGTTGTACGTCTTTTAAGTAATAAAAATTAATTCTTATATAATAT